TGTGTGTGTGTGTGTGTGTGTGCGCGCGTGCGTGTCCGTGTGGACGGGAAATGGCAAACAGAGAGGCGGTCACAGCTCAGAGCCTGTTGTGTTTCCTGGCTGAGAAAGCGAACAGCTGGTTCTCACTAACTCACTGTTACAACCGATCGACTCCATCGATGATCCATCAGAGAGAAGCACACTTTAGCTCACAGGAAAGTCTCAGTGTCGTGAGTTAGCCAGGTGTGAAGTTAGCTGGCTAACTTAACTACCGAGCCACTTGCAGTTTGACAGCGTGTCTGGTTAGCTGCGGTTAGCGTTAACTAGTTAGCCAGTTGCTAACGACGGGGTTAACGGCTGGAGAAATGTGAGCGGAGCGGTGGGTTTACCTCATCCGACTGAAGTCCACGGATCTGCTGGGAAAGTAGAGCCATGATGTCCTCGCCCTCCTTCTTCCTCCTCCCAGAGAGCGACAAGAAGAAGAAGAAGAAGAAGAAGACAGTGGTCCGGACAACAGCAGCCTCTTCTCTGGTGTTTAGTTTATATTCCGTCGGTGTTATTCCCTCGGTGTCGGAGACGTTAGGCCTTGAAACACCGCCAATCCGAATCAGTTGTTAACTGTGACATCGTCGTCACACACATTGTATCCATCCTCTTCCTCCTCCTCTTCCTCCTCCCCATACTGTTCCCTCCTCCTCTGCTGGTTTCCTCCTCCTCCTCTTGTTCCATTTTCCCTGTTATAGATTCAACAAACCCGGAGGAAACACTGAAGCACTGAGGAAACCTTGAATAAACAGTGATGAAGCCCTCAGGAAACCCACAGGAAACCCACAGGAAACCCTAATGAAACACTGAGGAAACCATGAAGAAACCCCACAGGAAGCCCGTAGGAATCAATGAGGAAACCATGAGGAAATGTTGAAGGAACCCAAAGGGAAGCCTTAAGAAACCACGAGGAAACCAAGAGAACACTGAGGAAACCCTGAGAAAACGCTGAAGAAGCCCCAAGAAAACCTTTAGGGAACCCCGAAGAAACCTAGAGGTAACATTAAGGAATCAATGAGGAAACCGTAGGGAAACGCTGAAGAAACCCTGAGGAAGCCCTAAGAAAACCTTAAGGAAACAATGAGGAAACCCAAAACCTGAGGAAACCACGAGGAAACCTGTAGGAAACCCAGTGATGGGAGAAGTAAAAGTACTAAAGAGATCTTCACACCATCTCTAATATTCACTTTCTTTATGTAGAATCACATCTCTTGGACTCTTTTTCTAACAAAAAACGGTTACCTCTCAGAT